AAAACCTCAGTAAAGATTGCTAACACAGCTAGCTCACACCTACAATCCCAGAATTTGGGAAATGGAGACAGGAATATCACAAACTCACAAGGGAGTTAGTTCTGGGCTAACCTGAACTATATGAAACTTTGACTCTAAAGTATAAGGCAGGAATGTGGTGCAGACATATGTGTAGGTAAAACACTAAAAATAGATAAATCTAAAAAGACAAACTTATTTTGATTATGTCATAATATTGAAAAAATAACAATTCCTAATGTAGAAAACTAAAAGACCTGATCACATCTCCCTTTCTTCCTATGACATTGTGAATCCCAGTAGAATGTCTTTGTCCCTAAACATTCTTTCTTTGGGGGATGTACTGGCAAATTAACCAGGAGACTCCAGGCAAAGACCCAAATTCTAAGCTATATCCCAGCTCTTAAGATTGTCTCAGAAATCCATGACTCTGTATGCAGAAGAATTTTTAGCAAGCTCTAGGCCACTGGGGTGAAAGCGAAGCTTGAAGATAGGCTTGTCTACCCTTAGAAACAGAAAGTAGAATGGTGGTTGCCAAGGCAGCAGGGAGAGAGGAACAGGAAGTTGCTCAAAGGACAGTTTCAGCTCTGCAGCATGGAAAAGCCTTACAGCCGGCACATCAATGTGCATACCAGTAAGTGTACGCTTTCATACACCAAGGACTGGTTATGCTGGGAATTTTAACTACAACTGGAAAGAAAGAAAGGTTTGTCCACTAAGCTTCGCCACATGCTGGCCATTGCTAAGCTCTTCCTAAGTGTCTGTGATTAAGCCGGGCATGGTGACATACACCTGTAATCCCAGCACTCAGGGAGGCAGATTTCTGTGAGTTCGAGGCCAGCCTGGTCTACACAGTGAGTCCAGGACAGCCAAGGCTACACAGAGAAACCCTATTTCAAACAAATAAACAAACAAACAAACAAAAGATAATTGTTTGTGATCGACTCAAAGGCAAATAATTAGGAAGAGACTCTGGGTACGATTGGTGCACACCTGTAATCTCAGCATTTTGGAGGAGAGGCAGGTGGACCTCGGTAAATCAAGCCAGCCAGGATTACATAGAGAAACTTTGTTAAAAAAAAAAAAAAGTGGTGGAGGTGTGAGTGACTAAAGACTGACTTGCATTCTAAGTTGTAAAACTTCAGACTTTTTTTTTTGTAGACAGAGTCTCTATATATCCTGAAACTATATTCACCAGGCTAGCCTCGAACTCACAGAGCTCTGCTTGCCTCTTTCTTCCAAGTGCTGGAATTAGAGGCATGTGCTGCTACATTCCACCAAGCTTCAGACTGTTTTGTGACCCAAAGACATGACATTCAAAACTCTGGAATTCTCCATTTTTCCTGACTTATTCAGGTCCTAGTTTTGAGTATATTTTATGATTTATGCCTCTGTATTGTCTAAGCTCTATTCTTCCTCTTTTGAATTAAATCCAACTCTCCTTCCTTCCGTGTCTATTCTTACCACAACTGCAGAGACCCTGGACACTGCCTTAACATACTTCTCATGTTTAAACCATCAACTGCAGTATCTCTTTAAAATGACCTTATTTCATATGTCTGGGTGTTTTGCCTGCATATATGTCTGTGTACCACATGCAAGCCTGGTACCCCAGAAAGGGTATTGGATCCCTAGAAATGAAGCTATAGATTGTTGTGATGTGGGTGTTGAACCTAGGTTCTCTGGAAGAATAGCCAGTGCTCTTAATTGCTGAGACATCTCTCCAGTTCCCAAGGGTTTCTCTTAAACAGCAAATAAGGTCTGCTGGCACAGGGGTGTATTTCCAGGCACTCAGGAAGCTGCAGCTTGCCTGGGCTACAGGGAGTTAAAGAACAGTCTGAGCAAGTTAGTAAGACCCTATCAAGATAAAACATAGAAAGGGGGACTGGGGAATGTAGCTCAATGGCAGAATACTTGCAAAAATAAGTGTGTAAAGCCCTGGGTTTAACTGCAGTGCAGGAGGAGGGGACTTCTATTATGTCTTCAACTCATATTTTTTGAGTACAGGTAAAGTAGTCACTGAAACTGTTGCGTGAAACACAGGATGAATGACTCAACTTTCCCATGGAAATGAAAAGCAAAAAGCAGGGTCGGGGCAATAGTGAGAGAGGGCTGGAGACTAGAACTGACAATGACTTAAAAGGGTAATGGTTGGTCTGAGGCTGCTATTTTTGTTCTTTCAAAAGGATAGAGTTCTAGAAATGAACACCAAGGAAAGTAGCCGTGAGAAAGGACCAAAAGCAGCTGATAACCTCCTTAAGTCAGAAAGTCCTTCGGCTGACATGCATTTTGACAGCGTCTCCCTCTACAGCCCAGGCTGCAGTGCCTCACTGCCCTCAAAGCCAGCTCTTTGGGAAGCTGCACACACTTGACTTTGTGACATTCGTATTAATGCTCACAAGTGAAGGGAGAGACGTACTCCACATGCTGGAGATAGACTAGGCAGTCAAATGCCTCTACTGATAAAATCAAGTGCATCATAATGCTACCATTTAGCACCCTTCAGAGGCAGTCCAGGAAGAGAAACCATTCTGGGAGCAGAATCTTGGGATAATAGTACCGTATCAGAGGTAATGAGTATACAATAATTCTATGACTGCAAAGATTACACTCAGACTTTCACCACTGATCCTGATTGGCCTTTTGTAGCAGCACAGACATGTAAGTATTTTAACTATTTAACAGTAGGTTGATCACTTTGGTGGTGCTAGAGAACTTCATACATGTTAGACAAGCATTCATGAGCACTCTACCATTGTATTCTATCCCCAACCCTCTTCCCCATTATTGAATAAACGGAGTCCCTTTCCCTGGGAACTGTTGCACTTCTGGCTTGTGGACTCAAGAAACACTTTCCATCATCACTTTTAACCTTGAAAGAAGGCAAAAGAGAACGAGGATACAGCTTGCTATCTTCCCTTTTCTGAGTTTCTCATGCGCCACGGTGGATTTTTATTATTGGTTGGTGGCTGCTACTTCAAGAAAAAGATCAGCTGACCTTCCCAAGCTGCTGGGGGATGAATGCTGCTGTGGCTTTCAGGCTCTTCAGAGCTTACAGCAGAAGGATCGTCTTCTTCCCTTGACATACACAACACAACACACAGAACATTCTGTATAAAAACGACACAATAAAATTAACATGAACTGCTCCAACAGGAAAAGGGAGCATCAATAAATACCTCACAGACAACTCCAGATCCAAAGAACAGGAGTCTGCTCTGCTCCATTGGCAGACGAGAAGGAAATGAAAGCCGTTTGCAAAGGCAGCTGTGAGGATGGAGTCACACAGCTGGCCTCACAAAAGAGAACAAATATCTCAAAGGAAACAACTGACACATAAATAGAGGTCTATCCAATCTGGCTGCAGAAAGAGCCACTGGAGGGAGTACTGAGAAGGCTCTTTTAGAAAAGAGCTAGCCTGCTGCCTCACCGGGTGGACTGGCCCATGGTGCACTGGCAAGAAAGGAGAGCAGAGCACACAGGGGTTCAGTAGTCTGGAATCCACTCCTTGGCTTTTCCAACTTAGAAGAAGGATGTGAAGCAAGGAAGGAGAATCGGGTATGTATGTATGTATGTATGTATGTATGTATGTATGTACGTACGTACGTATGTACGTATATTTAGTGTGGGTGTGTGCAAGTGAGCATGTGTGGAAGACAAAGGATCACAACCCGTGCCTTTCTTCAACTGCTTCTACCTTCTCTGTGTGTGTATGTCAGAGCCACCGACTGAACTTAGAGCTCATCTGTCAACTAGACTGGCTAGCCAGCAAGCTCCAGGGATCCACCTACCTCTGCTTTCCTAATGCTGGAATTACAGAAATGTCTAGCTTCTTTATGTGGATGCTGGGCGACTGAGCTCAGATTCCCAAGCCTGAGCAGCAAGCACCTCCCTCGACTAAGCCATCTCCTAAGCATCTTATTCTGTGTTTTTGATACAAGACTCAAAATCCTCAGAATGAAACAGCAAGGTGGGCCTGACTACACTGGAAGGTAAAGGCAGGAGAGCCAGGAGCGGAAAGACATCCTCAGCTACCAGTGAATTTACCCAGATGAGCTCAATTCATATAGCTAACATAGGCTATATGAGCCCGGTTTCATGTCTTTTTTTTCTTTGTAGCAGCAATTTTATATAAAGTTATGTACTTATCAAACTGTACTCTAATAAAGACCCTGATTAAAAAGAGAGAGAGAGAGAGAGAGAGAGAGAGAGAGACTCCAAGAGAAACAGTGGGTTCAACTCCATGCCATGCTGAATCCCCATTTGTACTTTTACATAATGTAGAGCTGAGTACAGGCACTGAGGGAGAAGGGAAATCAGGCCAGATTCAAGGAAAACAAATGTACAAGGCTATCTGCATCTTTAGCTCAGTCAACACCGTAGGAAAACCTGCCCAGAAATAACTGTTGAAGGCAAAGAAAACACAATCATTAAAGAAAATCTATCTCAATAAGAGCTCATGCTTTAATGAGCTAAATACCTTCAGATTACACTGAACTCAAAAGTTTTTCTGTGGCTAGAATTTTCATTGATTCCTAAGTTCCTATATCTTTTCTTTTGGTTTGTCCGAGTTTTTACTACAGGGCGACAGCAGCCCAGGCTGTCCTTAAAACTCACTGTGGAGTCGAGAATAGCTCTAATTCCTGCTCCCACCTTCCAGGTGCCGGGATTACAGGTCTACACCATCGTGCTGACATTTCTGACTTTTAGAAATCAAAATGACTGTGACCGAGAGCTTTAAAAGTAATGCCTTATCACTTACTCTAAGACAGTAACTCATCAAGTTTCAGCTCATACTCTATATAATTAAACAAAGGAAGACAGTATCACTCTAGTAAAGACCCAGCAAGCAATTCTGCAGTAATTCTTCTCAGCAGCTAGATTTACCACCCTGCTCAAACCTCAGTCCAAGAGTCCCAGACAGAAACAGCTACTTGGTTCTCACCACCATCCAGGTCACTCTGGGAAGAGTAAGGACTTACCTGTTCCTCTGATAGTTGAGATATGTGATTCACAGCAGCGTAGGACTCAATTTTGGGATTAAAGTGATTGATGATGGCTCTGAAATAAAGAATTAGCATTAATATGGTCCTAGATGGAAGATAATTGATAATCCAGTTATTAATAAAAAGTGAGTAGCCTTGGGTTAGTTTTTGCCAACTTCACACAAGCTACAGTTATCTGGGAAGAGGAACTTCAATTGAGAAAATGCTTCCAACAGATTGGCTTGTAGGGAAGTCTGTAAGGCATTTTCTTGATTAGTGATTGATGTGGGAGGGCCCACAACACAGGGGGAGAGCAGTGCCGCCCCTGGACAGGCGGTCCTGGATAGTATAAAACAGCATGCTGAAGGACCAGAGAGATGCCTCAATGGTCAAGGGTGCCTGCTGTTCTTACAAAAGAGCTAGGTCAGCTCCTAACACCCACACTGGCTAGCTTACAACTGTCATTGACACCAATTACAGGGATCTGACACCTTCTTCAGGCGTCTGAGGACACTGCATGTACCTGATATACACATGCAGACAAACACATACACACAGAAAGGAAGGAAAGGAAAGGAGAGGGAAATGAAAAAGGGGGAGGGGAAGTGGGAAGGGGAAGAAGGGGAAGGGGAAGAAGGGGAAGGGGAAGGGGAAGGGAAGGAAAAAGGAAAAGGAAAGGAAAGGAAAAGGGAAAGTGGAAAGAAAAAGGGTAAGGGAGAAAGGGAAAGGGGTAAGGGGAAAGGGGAAAAGGAAAAAAAGGGAAAAAGGGAAGAAAAAGGGAAAAAGGGAAAGGAAAAGGGAAAAAGGAAAAGGAAAGGAAAGCAAAGCAAAGAAAGAGAAAAGGAAAAAGGAAAGGAAAGAGGAAAGGAAGGGAAAGGAAGAGAAAGAGAAAGGGAAAGGAAATAAAGAAGGGAAGGAAAGGGAAGGGAAGGGGGAGGGTAGAGAAGGGAAAAGGGAAGAGAAAAGAGAAGGGAAAAAAAGGAAGGGAAAACGGAAGGGAAAAAGGGAAGGGAAGGGAAAAGGGAAGGAAGAAAAAGAAAAAAAGAAAAAAGAGAGAGAGGGGAAAGATCATGCACGCAAGCAAGCTGAATCAGCCATTGGAAGCAAGCCAATAAGCAGAACTCCTTCATGGGCTGTTTCAGTTCCTGCCTTCAGGTTCCTGTCTTGAGTTCCTGCCCTGACTTTGCTCTGGGGTAGTGACATGGGAGCTGTAAAGTGAAGTAAACCCTGTCCTCCCCAAGTTGCTTTTGGTTATAGTGTTTACCACAGCATTAGAACAAGGTAACTGTTCTCTTCCTAAACATAGGTTACAAAATGGGAATGAACTGGGGATCAAAATGGGAAGGACTTAATAATTTGTTGAGAAATAAAACCAAAGGCCTCTAATGTGAAAATGAACTACAGAGAAAAGCATATAAGTAAAAAAAAAAAAAAACAAAAATCATGGTACTATTTCTTGAGATGAAAAGGGACCAGGGGGGTGTCCACTAGGGGGCCTGGCGTTCTAGTCAGAATGAGGTGTACAGGGTGGATACTCAGTGAAACTGGACCAACATGTAAACAAAACAGTCTCTGAAGAGGCTAAGCTGCACCAACGCTGACATTAATCTTCACGCTTGTTGGTATGTAGTTCTAAACCATAATTTAAATTCCAGGCATTGACACCAAAATCAGAGTATCACTTTCAAACATTCCCTGCCTATCACTTGTTCACATCCAAAGTTATCACATCTTGTTAAGTTTATCTCTCAAAAAATCTCCAAGGGCCTGGGGAAAAAAGTGCTTGTTAAGCAAACGTGAGAACCCGAGTTCAGAGCTCTAGCACCAATATAAGAGCTGAACATGGTGTGTGCCTGAGTCCCCGGCAGAGAGTGTGGTGGTGCAGAGACATAGGGTGGCCAGCCAGTGTAGTGAAAGTAATGAGTTCCAGCTTCAGTGAAAGGAGATCCTGTTTTTAAAAATTTGGTTCCCATAAGCACAATAGTGGCATGAATGTTACAGGGTAACTAACTACTGTCTGCTTGGATAGAAAGGCCTGCTCCAAAAAAAAAAAAAAACCCATGTCTAGTACTGTACATCTGGCAGGAACTCAGGTTGGAGAGCTCAAAAGTCCAGGGATGAACCTACTATTGCTACTCTGCTAAATGAACTTAGCATCAAACTGCCCTACACACTTTATCTCTTATCCCAGGGATCAGTGCAGTTTTCAGACCTAAGCAGAGAAGTTTCTTGTTTGGATGGTAGGCAATGCAGAAACTCACAACTGGTCAAGCACAAAGAATCGGTGTCAGTGGTGCTCAGCCACAAATGGGACATTTTACATCACACTCTCTCTGTTAGGTTCAGGACCATCTTGGAGGAGGGGTGGAAAGACTCTAAAATCCAGAGGTCAGGGAGAATGAGAGCAAAACTATCTCTAGAATCATATCACTCATGAACTCACAGAAGCTGGAGTTGCCTGTACAACATCCAGCCATTCAACATTCCAGCATGAGTCCCCACTCCTAACTAGAATCTATGACTAGACAATGGCTTGGGGAGAGGAAGATGAGCGTTCTTTCAGGATCTGGATCCTGGCAGGCTGACATGCTGTAGTAACAGCCTCTCATCCAGGAGCATACAGGCAGTATAATCTCAGTCAATGCGCTACTTAAAGAAAGGATACAAACTCAGGGTGTATTAGGAAGTGGATATGGATCTGGGAGGAGCTAGAGGGAAGAGTTGGAGGTGAATATGACTGAAATACACTGCATGAAATTCTCAAAGAATTGATAAAAATATTTTAAAATATATAAAGTGCAAAAGCATCTAAGGAAGAATATCTTGATGTTCACTTCTGGCCTCCACATGGGTGAGTTTACCCACACAAACACTTAACACACACACACACACACACACACACACACACACACACACACAGACGAGAGGGAGAGAGAAAGAGAGAAAGAGAGAGAGAGAGAAAGAATGAATTTCTGAAGTGTGAAAATAAAGAAAATATCCCTGTTTTTTTTTTTTTTTCCTGGTCCCAGGCACTCCAGGAGTACAAAAACACCACCACACCACATACAACCAATCCTGAAAATGGCACAGAAATGGCATCAAGAAACCCAATTATAAAGATATGAATCTCTAGTCTGGAACAGTGGCTCATGCCTATAGTCCCAGCACTCTGGGATGTAGAGACAGGTGGACATCTGTGACTTCGAGGCCAGCCTGGCCTACAAAGTGAGACCAGGACAGCAAAGGGTACACAAAGAAACTCTGACTTGAAAACAAACACCCCCCCCCAAAAGATATGAATCTCTTAAGGGAATTGACCCCAAGTTCCTGAGGACCACCCCCTTTCCCAAGAAGCACAATAAGAAGGGTCTGAGGAAGATGCAGGCAAACAATGCAAAGGTAATGAGTGCTTGTGCAGAGGCCATTAAGGCCTTTGTGACACCCAAGGTGGTTAAGGCCAGGACACCAAAGAGCCCCAACTGCAAGCTCTGCCGACTTGCTTTCAAGGCTCATCCCAGCCTTGTGAAGCAGATTTGAGGCTATGCGGCCAAGGGTCACAGGCTATGCCAACCATAGCCCAAGGTTCAAACCATGAAAGAGGCTGCAGCTTCAGCTCAAGCCCAGCCTTCAGTTTCCATTCCTACCCTAAGTGCCCAGACCCTTGTGAAGGCCCCATGGAAAAGGCTTCTTTTTATCTGCCAAGGTGAGAGAAGATGGTTTGGTATGACTTTACACACTATTTGCAGATGGTTGATGCTCTGTGTTGTTTTTATAAATAAATTTGAGGGCAAGATCTGCCTAAAAATAAATAAAAAGGAATCGCCTTGAAATAAAATGCCTTGGTATAGGTAGGTTCTTGTCATTTCTTCCCTGGTGCAGCAGAATAGGCATGATTTATTATTTTATTTTTAGACAGGACCTAACTTTGTGGCCCAGGTTGGCCTTAAACTCTTGGCAATCCTACTGTCTCAGTATCCCAAGTACTGAAAATACAAGTTGTGGGCCACGACACCTGTGTTCTGTGGCTCAGATCAAAATTTGACAAGAGTTCATATTGATGGAAACAAATGACTGGATACACAAAGAAAAGGAAAAAACCCTAAATCTTTACTCTACAGCGTTGTGAGGAACAGAAGAAGCCCTGAGTGTGTGAGGGCCTGAGTGAATGTGTGTTACTGACATGGCATGACCATGTCAAGGACCCCAAAGCCTAAGATCTATGGGAAAAACCAATTCCTTCCTCTGGTCCATGTGTGGATGTTGACTGTGTGCAGAAAAAGTCCATCTAGTTTCTTCTCCCTGGATATCTTCACCCTGAAGACTGGTCCCTTAGAGAGTGTTCCTACTGAGATTATCTAACCCTATCACTTGATTCAGCTGTATAGCATCAATCCTGCCTCCGCTGTTTATCGGTATAAAAACCCCACCTCCTGTTCAGCTGTAATTACCCTGCCTCTCAGCTCAGCTCTCTATATTAAAGGCACTGAGGGTCCACGTTGTTGTGGTTTCTGCAGACTTGATCTGTGTGTTCTATTTCTATGTGACCATATGTCTTTTCTTCATCCCCTGTCACCCTAGGCAGACCTGTCCTTGGAACCATCTAATATGTTGTAAAAGTAACTTTCATATAGCCAGATGTAATTACCATCTTGGAGGCTTACTGTCTCTGTCTGCTACTGTAGGCCTAGTCCTGGAAGCTTCTAGCCTCCATACAATCTAATCTAGGCCTAGAATGCTTTGAGCCTCTGAAATTTACTGCTGAATAAGCTCACTCTTTGTAATTCTTTTTGAACTCTGGCTGGCTGGTTCAACTCTGGCTGTGTGGCTCAAATTCCTCTCCAAGCTGACAACTCAATCTGGAGTCTCTCAATTTCTCACTAAAGAGCTCTGCTTGGCCTCATACTAACTTCTTCAATATGTTCTAATCTTCTGGCTCCCGCTCATTCTCTGGCTCTGTCTTCACCTGTGTCTAGTCTGTTCTCTCTCCACAGCCTGCCTCTGTACAACTGTCATGGTAAAACTGCCTCCTCCCTCTCTCACCCTCTGCTCCCCAAGGAGCCTATCTTTTTCTAGTCT